TACATGGGCAATACCTCTATTTTTGTGGATTAATGTATTTACATGTGTTTATCGCTATGTTTATACCTCTATCCATTGCTCGGCTTCCTTGGTCCTTCCTCTGCTTCCTGTTACCTTCCTCCTGCCCCAGGGTCCCTTTCCCCTTATTTCTGCCTCTTGGTCCCTCCTCTTAGCTAGTTTGCTGTTGCTTCCACACCCCTGCCCTCCCACCTCAGATCCCTATCTCCTCCTTGTTACTGACTCCAACAGCACTTTCCTTTTTTCTAGCTTAACTACTAAAAAAAAATTCTGAAATAACAATGAAAAGACCAGGCCCCAATTCCTGGTGGTGATTTACAAAAGACATTTAATTTTCCCATATGCATGTTGGTAAAAGTAATAAGCCTGCATTTGGTTTTGTCACAAAAATATGGGATATTAAATTCTGTAGACTGTGCTATAATTTTTAGAAATAGTACAAAGGACCCCTTAAGCACATAGTAGTAGATAATTGTTTTCTCCATTTTGTAGAAAACTAGGGCTCATGGAATTTGAGAAGTTTGCCTGAAACCACCTAATATATAACTTGAAATATCAGTAGGAAAATGTCAAGAAAATAAAAATCATTTATGGATGCCTTTTACTAATATCATAGGTTTATTTCCTTAGTCAAATTTGTAGTGTCTGCCAGCTGAATAAAGATCACAGAGATCAGACCCCACTGTAATAATGTTATAGATGGTTTCTTTTGACTTTGCTCAGGGCACACAAAATCTGCTTTCAGAAATTTTTTTCAGAAAAACCATCTCTGATAATATATTTGAATAATATTTAAGCAGATGAAAATCATTAAAAATGATATTGGTTAACGCAAATCTATTATGATCTATTGTCAGAGGTAATATTGTGTGCTGTATTATTTGTGCCCTTAAAAACAATGATCTTGCAATCATTTGGTTTGTGTGTGTGTGTGTGTGTGTGTGTGTGTGTGTCAGAAGCTAAAATCAGTAAGCGGCAGCTGCGGCACAGTTGAAGCGAAGCTGGACAGTGGTGTGCAATGTGCACGTGCACCTAACTGACAACTGGAGAAATTAGACTATCTAGTGAAAACTTTCTGCTTTTCAGACATTGGTTTGATGTCTTTTTTAAATTTAATTGTGGCAAAATATGCAACATAAAGCATAAAATTTACTTGTTGACCTTTTGTGTGTGATTCAGTGGCATTAATTGCATTCATAATGTTGTGAAACTCTCATCACTACATATTTTCGGAAATTTACATCACCACAAACCATTAAGCAAATCCCCCCCCACGCCTTTCTAGAATCTGGTCATCGCTAATCTATCTTCTGCCCCTAGGAATTTGGCTATTCTAGGTCTTTCATGTAAGTGGAATCATGCATATTTGTCTGTTTATGTTTGCTTAATTCATTTAAGTTTTTAAGTCTAATCACTCTGTAGCCTGTGCCAAACTTCCTTCTCAGTGGCATAATAATATTGTGTTGTCTATTAGCTACATTTTGTCATTCATTGTGTGGCATCTAGGTTGTTTCCATATTTTGGCTATTAAAGAATAGTCATATATGTATATATATTTGCATATATGCTCATATATATACACCTATGAGTGATATTGCTGGGTCATATGATAATTCCTTTTGAGGAACACAAGCTGCTTCCACAGTGACTATACCATGTTACATTACCAACAGCAATGAATGAGGATTGCAGTTCTCCACATTCTTGTAGAGAAAATGACCCATCCTTCTTATTTTCCTTATTTTAAATATCATAGTGGGCATGGAGTGATATCTCATCTCCGTCTTCATTTGCATCTCCCCAATTACTGATGGAACATGTTCTGATATGCCAATTGGACATCTGTGCATGTTCTTTGGAGGATGTCTATTCCTGTCCTTTGTCAAGTTTTTAATCAGCTTGCTTTCCTTTCTATCGTCGACTTGTAGGATGTTATACATATATATAATAAACTCTTGATATTAAATCTTTATCAGAAATGTGATTTGCAAATATTTTCTCCAATTCTCTAGGCTGCATTTTCATCTTTTTAATAATGGTCTTTGTTGTGTAAATGTTTCCTTAGGGTAAATCCAATTTACTTTTTTCTCTTCTATCGCTCATACTTCTGGTATCATATCCAGAAACAGACTGCCAAAGGCAAAGCCACAAAAGCTGTACTCTGTCTTTCCCTCTAGCAGTTGTGGTCTGTTAGTGCTTATATTTGAGCCAGTGCCCAAGCCCTCATGATGCAGGGAGAAGTATTTGTTTGCTAACTGAAAAGAAGTCAGCTCAAACCCACCAATAACTCCACGGAAGAAAGCCACAGCGGTCTGCCTTTGCAAGCATCACAGTCTGGGAAGCCCTCTGGGGCCATTCTACCCCGTCCCATGACCCTGTCCTAAAGTCACTGGGAGTTGGAATCAATTTGATGGCAATTATTTTTTTCTGTTTTTACTTATCCCGCTTGTTCCATTTTTAATTTAATGTTTGTATCGAGTATGAGGTAGGATTCCAGCACCCTACTTTTTAGGTGAAAATGTAGTTATTCCAGCACCATTTATTGAAACGATTATTCTTTCTTTCCTCGACTGAATGAAAGTGGCACTGTGTTAAAAAATATATATTGGCCATGTGTATATAGGCCTATTTCTACATTTCTATAATCTTGGTCTATACTTCTACTCTCATGCAAGTAGTAAATCATTTTGATTGCTATAGCTTTCCATTAAGTGCTGAAAAGTGTGAATTCTCCAGGCTTGTTCTTTTTGAGGACCTGGAGCAGTTACTCAAAGCTTCTTGCAAAATCACATGAACTTGACGATCAGCTTTTCTGTTTTTTGCGAAACAACCGGTTAGGATTTTGATTGAAATGGTGTAGAATCTGTAGATTCCGTTGGTTAATATTGGCATCTTAACAATGTTATCTTCCAATCCTTGAATATAAATGTCTTCCCATTTTTAAAAGTCCACTTTAAATTTTTTCACCAATGTTTTTTTAGTTTTTAGTGTATAGGGATTTTACCTTTCTGGTTAAATGTATTCCGCAATATTGTTGTATAAGAAATTAAACAAGAAACTAGATAGTCCATATTCTTTCTCCATTATCTGACAGAGTGACGGTATAGTGGGATACAAATTGGG